GACTACAATTCCAATCATCCCCAGTCAGCATGATAGCTGTGCACAGAGGCCAGTGCAGTCCAACTTCATTGCATCAATCCATGAATGACTTAACTCCACTCTGTGAACAGGCAGACTCTTTTTAGAAATGTTGAGTTTGCCTGTTGCTCTTCATCATGCTTAAAAAGTAAAGGTAAAGGGACCCCTGACCATTAGGTCCAGTCGTGACCGACTCTGGGGTTGCGGTGCTCATCTCACTTTATTGGCCGAGGGAGCCGGCGTACAGCTTCCGGGTCATGTGGCCTGCATGACTAAGCCACTTCTGGCGAACCAGAGCAGTGCACGGAAACGCCATTTACCTTCCCACCAGAATGGTACCTATTGATCTACTTGCACTTTGACGTGCTTTTGAACTGCTAGATTGGCAGGAGCAGGGACCGAGCAACGGGAGTTCACCCTGTTGCGGGGATTCGAACCGCCGACCTTCTGATCTGCAAGTCCTAGGCTCTGTCGTTTAACCCACAGCACCACCCGTGTCCCTTTCATCATGCTTGCTTGTGGATAAAAGCCACCACACATGTTTATCTGTGTGACTCTTTTCCTCCAGATTTTAACGCAGCTCTTCATAGTGTCTTTAGCATATTTATAACCACACCATCTCCCAAAGTGGGCTGGACAACCTGAGAATGCATTAAAATGGGCATTCCTCAAACAAATAACTATTTTGTCTGTCATATAGATGTCATTGATTCTACCACACTCTATTGTGACATGAGGCACACAAACAAACAAAAAATCTCTGTGGGTTTTGTTTGTCTCTCCATTTACATACTTAGCACTGGACCTCTGAGAGCCAGAAAGCAATCCTGGATCAGTCAAGGCTTTGACAAACTGAACATTTTTCCAATGTCTATGCACCTTGTTCCAAACTTATCCGGTGCATGCCGAAAATTCCCATTATCACTGCAAAGAGTAATAACTTCGGCCGAATAAATTTTATCTGATTTCCATCAGTAGGTGGAGATGCAAGGAGATGTTTCATTAAGAAGTAATGTGCAGAAACAACTGACTCCAACATGAACAATAAAAGAGTTGCCATTAATCATAGGTACCTACAGTATATTTTATTTTACTTATTGAATTTATATACCACCCTATACCCGGAGGTCTCAGGGCGGTTCACAGAAATGATCACAATATATAAAATCAAAATAGGAACAATAACCCAATAACACACACACACACACACACACACACACACACACAATCTTCTTCAGTCGTATATTTCCAGAACAAAAGAGCAGGATCCTATGGTGTTCCTATTATATGGAATAATAGGAGAAGGGGCAAGTAAAAGTAATTGGCGAATACCGTTCTGGAGTAATCACCTATATATGCCATGTATACTTACATAGGCGCCAACTCTGTGGGGCCCTGGCACCCCATTTCCTGAAAGTTGGTACCTCCCGCCCTTGGGCAGCCTGCACCCAGTTACACAGGAAGGTGTGCTCTACAAAAGTGTAGGGAAGCAGGAAGAAGAATTCCTCCCTGCTGTAACAGTCATATCCACACTCGAGCAGCTTTCCTGAACTTTCATTCAATTCATCACTTACTGCTCAGGTTCTTGTCTCAGTCCACCTGCAGCAATATTCACCTACAGCAGGCTTTCCCAGACTTGGGTCTTCAACTGTTTTTGGACTACAACTCCCATCATCATTAGCTATCAGGAGCAGTGGTCAGGGATAATGGGAGTTGTGGTTCGAAAACAGCCGGAGACCCAAATTTGGGAAACGCTAATCTAGAGCAACAACCAGTGGCTCTTGTATGAATGTCCATATATGCCTGCATCTTCCAGCTATGTCCAGATGAACACTGCAATTCAGACGACCACCTAGATGCACAAACAGAAGTCTGCTTTCAGAGCGCCCTCTATTTTGTCAGATTTCCACTGTGGCTAATCATTTTGTATATGCCTGGTTTTACGTGCTGAGGGAAATCTTCCTTTTCCCAGTAAACACGCCAACAGTGTATGGCATCTGTGGAAAGGGCAAAAGTGAGCCCAACTTGCCAGAAGTTAAGCAACAGGTTTTTCCCGAAATGCTTCTTTTCATTTTGAAGGGCAGCTTCGCTCACAAAACAAGTGGCTTAGCAGCTTTTTGAAGCCTGTTTTATTCTAGGATTTAGATATCTTTGACCACATGGTTGCACTATAGTCCTAGATTGCCTCCTGGAATTGCAAGCCTTGGAGCAGAGATGGGAAGCTGTGCTATGCTATGCTAATTTCAATGCCTACTACAGACACATTCTCATTCTCAAGAATTCCCTGCAGATAAGAGCAAATGAGATACCAGGGGAATTGTGCTTGCCATATTCTTCTGGTCTTGAAATAATGCTGTTTTGCAAATGTCCAAGGCATTTCACTTCATAATGTGAGAGCATAAAAAGCGAGATATGCAATGACTTCTACTTGGTTGGAATGAGAGATTAGCCTGAAATCAAAACTGTCTGTGCTGATATATTCTGGTTAGATGTAATTACCTCATGTGCTATAGGGAGATTAGAAAAATTCCTGTAGAGTGAAGGCAGGAACGGGGGGGGGGGGGAGGAAGAGCTGCTTTGGGAGCTCAAATCCAGGGCCATGTTTTAGAATAAATACAGGCTTAATAGTTTGTTAAAGAGCACCTTTTTTTACATTGCGCTTTTTAAAAGTTCCACCCTTAACCAGATGATTTTCTTGCCTTTTCTTTCTTTTCTTCTGCAGAAAACATTGGCTTCCTGAATTACAAACATATATTATATGCACTGGATTTGAGCTTTATTTGAGGAAGAAATGTTTTATGCCTCCCACTCACCCCCCAGACACCTGCACTTCTCATTAGCTTAGTCCTCTTCATTTTGTATCTCGGCTTCCACTAAATTGGCTCCGACAATCTGGTGGTTTTGAAAACCAAGCGGAGCAAGCAGGGGGGACTAGTCTGAAAGTGAGAGATAATTTCTGAGGTTATGAGGAAGCTCCATGCTTGGGGAATTTAGCATTGCTGAAGCATTGATCTTCCATAATCAGCTGGAAGTGCAATTATCATTGTGGTTAAATGCACAACAATATTGCAGGCTTTTCCTCTTAATGTCCTGAAATGCACGCATGGGCAGCCAGTGGGCCACAGGCAACCCTTGATCACTCTCATTGAGGTCCACCATGTGCCAGGCAGCCCAGCCCACCTCTTCTCTGCTGCCCCGAGAAGAGATTGCTGGAGAGGGGTGGCTTTAACCTGTCCCACCCAGCAATTCTAATGCAGCAAGATTGCACTGCTAATGGCACAGAGACAGCAATCCTTTGTACACTGAGATCGCTGTGGGAGCCCGGTTAACTCCTCCAGCACTTCTGATCTCTGTCCCTGCACTGCTATTGGCTGTGTGAGGATAGGAAATGTGGTTGCACTGGGAGGAAGAAGGTAAACACGTACGTTGTGTGTGTGTGTGTGTGTGTGTGTGTGTGTGTTTCTGAGAGAGATGGAAGAATGTTGTGTGTATATTCAAGAGAGATGGAGGGCAGGAGTGGAGAAGGTTGTGTGTGCAAGAGAGTGGTTGTGAGGCATGGTCAACCCAACACATTTAGTGTCCTGGGCAAAGGACAAAATGGTGTCCCTCATTCCATATACAGAAGTAGACCAAACAGTCTGTTGACAATGGCAGACTTCAGGCATTCAAATCTCAGTGGTGCCCTGTGCAGTGCCAAAATTTGACGCCCCTTTGCCTCTCACACTCCATTCTACAGCACTGTTGTGGCGCCCCCTGCAGTGCAGGGTCCAGTGTGACCAAAACCAGTTCCGCTACCCTAAAACCGCCTCTGCTGTTGATTCTTCCCTTCAGCAGTGGCAACAGAGTAGTACTGTCCAGTGAACCTAAGGGCAGCTGCCTAGTTTAGGGGGGCCGACATCGCACATGTGATGTCCTTATGCCACGCATGTGACATTAGGATGTCGCGAAGAGCTGAGTGTGGAGCCAAACATGGCAACCATGCAACTCAATGACTGGCAAGAGGCTGCTTCAACCCACCTTCCTCTCCAGGACTGGAGGAGGGGAGGAGGAGGAGGAGGAACTGGCCACTGGAAGCTCTGCACTTTTGGGACATTGGGGGGCGGCCCCTACCCCAAAAACATAGGGGCCCCCAAAAAAGGCTTGTCCCCTAGCAGCCTGTGCCCCTGGCAGTGCCTTATCTGAGGAATGCCATTGCTAGACAGGGATATATGGGACAAGATGGCTTCTTGGCTATCCCTGGTCCAAGTCCACAGGCTGCTGATATCCTTGTCAGTGAGATATGCTGTGAAGGCCTGGCACATGTACCAGGTATTCCTTGGCCTCCCATGATGTTTCAGTCCACCCCATCTCCCAGGGCGAGGCTAGAATGTGGGTGCATCCCATGCGTGCTGCCTCAGGAAACACAGAAGGAGGTAGGAAACACAAATGTGATTAACACAAAGAGCAGCTAAGTGAGTTTTCGGCTTGAGATCTGAAGCTGGGAACCTTTCCCCTCAAACAGGAAAGTTGCCTTGCCCCGAACTTCCTGCCTGAGGGAAGGGCACAGAGGTGAGCAATCTATGGCCCTCTGTATGCTGTTGAACCCCCAGTGAGCTCAGCAGGGATTATGGGAGCTGTGATCTAGGAACCTCTAGAGGGCCTCAGGCTTGCCGCACCTGGTTTAACATGCTGAGGCAAACCACATGCACACTGTATGGACGCTTTTTTGGTAACTTTGTGTCTGGGACTTTGTGTCCCATATTTACTGCCCTTTCATTGTGATTAAAAAGCAAAGTCCCTATGGCAGCGTCGTTCTGTGGAGTTACTGGCTGACATGAAACAGACCAGCAGAGTGCAGTAGCAGCCTTTCTAGGAGCCGGTGCTTCAATCTCCTAACATGGCATTCTTCCTCCTACTTAGATGTGTGATCCATATCTCCATGGAGAGGAAACCAGTCACTTTCTAAGTTTAGACTTTCCCCCTGCTTAGTATTCCCTGCATGCCCTGCAGTGAAGGCATAGAGAATTGCAAAACTTGCTGATGCTCCTCTCAGAGGTCTAATGAGACTGGCCTCATGAACTGAAGGTAAGTTCCATTGTTCGGGGAACTTTAGGGGGGAAACCCAAACTTTGGTGATTACACTTAATGCATTGAAGACTCATGTCTTGAAACATCTGAGGAGGATGAGGGTCAGGGTCAACAAATGATGTAGAGTCCCAAGGGCCAGATATTTGGCACCAGAGACAGAGGTTCTCCACACACACACACACACACACACACACACACACACACACACACACTAGCCTTACAGTGCAATCCTAAGAATGTCTACTCAGAAGTGTCCCATTCTGTTCAGTACGTATAGGATTGTCATCTTATATGTCATTCATTTATTATTACAAATATTGTAGGGTCATTGAAGAGGAGAGCATGTACAAACTTCCCTTTCTCTACCAAGAAACCGCAGCCTGCTTCAAATGCAGAGTTGCACTTTCCCAACAGATTTGATCCTCTGCTCACACTCCCCCACACCTGCAATTTCTTTTCAAAATAAAGATCCATATAGATGCAAGTTCATGTTTTTGCTGATGCAGTTGTAGCTCCCTTACTGAAAAATAGATGTCGTTTAAATAACAATTCCCCACAGATACAGGTTCCTTCCAGTCATCTGGGCGCTAATTCCAATTTTTATCAGGTTGCTGGGCAAAAATCCTGATCTAATAAGGGCAAGTTGGGCAGAAACAGGTTTGACTTTCTCTGTGCAAATGCCTGCTTTGGACCTGCACCTGATAAATGCAAGGTCCAAGTGGGCAATTGCTAATCTCATCACAAAATCCTATTTAAGTTAACTCAGAAGTAGTTCAGATTTGCATATACATAGGACTGCAGCCTACAGTGCTTTTTGTTTTCTCTTCAGAGGGAATTCGAATCCATGCATTTCCTAAACACACACACCAAATGGAGCAGACTGGGATAGAGGATGGGTGATGTTCCCATGTAACACAATCCGGAACTCATGGCAGTGAATGAGCATCTCTGTATTAGGGCCATTTATTTTTATTAACAGCAGCAACAACATACCCTTTAAACATCCTTTCATTCAGACTATTCAAAGCATTTAGATTAGTAATTCGGTTCTTTCCTATGCATGACCGAAACTCATTTTTCTCCAAAATTAGGCAATCATAGCGAACACAAAGTGCAGATGATGTAAATTAATATTTGTACAGTATCAGATCATCTGGCATTAAATAAATCCAAAGCTATAAAGGTCAGGTGCTTGTTGAACACTATAGTTGGATTTTTCGCTCACAATTAAAACAGTAAAGCAAAGCTTTGAATCATATTAGACTGATATTTAGTTTAACTCAGTACCAAAGGCCTTAGCCAACAGCCAGGGTCTCAGCAAAGATCCCTCTAACACCCATCCACACCCATTCTAATTAGAGATTAATGTTTGGTGTCTTCTAGATGCAAAGTGTAACAATAGCAATAGCAATAGCAATAGCAATAGCAATAACAATAACAATAACAATAACAATAACAATAATATATTATTTATACCCCACCCAGCTGAATGGGTTTCTCCAGCCATTCTGGGCGGCTCCCAACAGAATATTAAAAACACGATAAAACATCAAACATTAAAAAGTTCCCTGAACAGGGCTGCTGTTCTAAAAGTCAGGTAGTTGTTTATTTCCTTGAAATCTAATGGGAGGGCGTTCCACAGGCCAGGCGCCACTACCAAGAAGGCCCTCTGCCTGGTTCCCTGCAACCTCACTTCTCACAGTAAGGGAACCACCAGAAGGCCCTCTGCACTGGACCTCACCCCCTGGCTGAAAAATGGGGCAGAGATGCTCCTTCAGGTACACTGGGCCGAGGCCATTTAGGGCTTTAAAGGTCAGCACCAACACTTTGAATTGTGCTCAGAAATGTACTGGGAGCCAATGTAGTTCTTTCAGGACCGGTGTTATATGGTCTCAGCAGCCACTCCCAGTCACCAGTCTAGCTGCCGCATTCTGGATTAGTTGCAGTTTCCGGGTCACCTTCAAAAGTAGCCCCACATATACTATATGAAAGCCAGCACAAACCATTCCATAACCAATGTGGTCTCCAAATCATTGGTGTCGCTGCATGCATCCCTTCACTTTCTCTCGTATATCTGAGTGGTTGTCATTATTACCTCCAAGGAAAAATATCTCTGTACTTGGAGACACTTTTGCAGCAATGCAAAAGCTGCCCTGCAAATGGAACGACTCTCCGCTGTTTGGGTGAGATGTGTAATGCACCTCTGTACACAAAGCACACAAAGATGCACTAGGATGCCGCCACACACACACACACACACCTTGAAATTCCCAGTGTCTATTTGCAACATACAAACAGTTCCTCCATAAGCAACTGCCCTCCCCACATCAGGGACTTGAGTTGGTATTAGCTGAAAGAGAGCATTCCATTTCAGCATTAATTGGCTGGCTTGCTTGCTTGTTGACATTTATGGCACTCCATATGGCTCCAAGGGATCCCTTAGGGTGGCCAACAACATGCCATAGAGCAATAATAAAACCCATTAAAAAGTAATAACATTAATCAAGGTAAGCAAGACAGGGGGAGGTGAACACGGCAATGCTAAAAACCAATAACAAAGCCAATAAAATAACCAAACCGATTTTGTATATTCTTGATACAGTAAGAAAAACTAAGGATGCCCCAGAAGAGGGTGGAATAAAATGATGTTTACCAGTTTTCTTTAAAAGGGGGACAGAAGGGGGCCCATCAAACATCCTTGGGAGGAGAGATCCATAAGAAGGCTAGTGCCATGCAAATGGACAGCCTAGTATCAGACAATGTCAGAAATCAGAGCAAGTCTCTAATGGCTGTACCTGTGGCTCTTCATGTGTTGGTTAGGGATGATGGGATTTGTAGTCCAGTAACATCTGGAAGGTCACAGCTTCTGCTCCTCTGTTGGGAGGAGGAATACCACACCTCTGTGGAAGGCCACAAAAAGTAACACTCTCACATTTTGAGCTGGCAGCGTTTGCCGACTCTTAACACAGCTCTGTCATAGCCATGTTTTCCAAAGGACTCACAGTTTGACCTCTCTGAGAGGCCCTCCTTGTACATTGTCTAAGGAAGGACATTCAGAACAGAACCAGGAACAGAATCAGTAAGAGTGAATTTGCAAACCCTCTTTCCAACCTACATAATTTTGGGAAAGAACACAGTCTAGTGAAATTTCAGCTCCATTTATAGTGCCAAGTTCTTTCGGGTGGGGTTTGAAAACAACAGGGAGTTGTGAAGTTTTAATTTAAGGCCAAATACAGATTGTAGCATACAGAGAATAAATCAAAAAACCAAGGACACCTTTCCCCTCTCTCTGATCAAAAAATACCACCTTTGATCTGAGTGGAAGACAAAGAGATGTATGAATCTGTAAACCAAGGTCTATTCCAATCCTAGACTTAACAACACCTCAAATAAGAAAAGCATCTAACAATACACTTTTTTGTACCTTTGACACCTTGTTTTCTGGGCTTTTGTCACTGTGTCACCCAGGACAAACAGTGTCTCCATTTATTCTCTCTCTCCAAGAAGAGAATAAACCATTTTTGTCATTTAAGTACGAAAGCAAGTTGCTTGGTGAAACCAGGATGTAGAATGGAAATCAATGTGGCACACTTGCTATTTTTCTAGAACCAAACATATCCCCTTCCTCTTGAACTAAACTAGAATGAGGTAGGTAGCCGTGTTGGTCTGATGCAGTAGAAATACATATTTTAAAAAATTAAAAAATTGTCCAGTAGCACCTTAGAGACCAACTAAGTTTGTTCTTGGTATGAGCTTTCGTGTGCATGCACACTTCTTCAGATACCTCTGAAGAGACCTCATTCTAAACTAGAATGATTAATAAAACAAATATACAGCCAGGCTTTCTCGAAATGTTCACCTGTCTGATCCAATTAGGAGGGGGGAAAGTCGATTTAATCTGTGGTGTTAAGCAGTTACCATGTGCACTCAAATCTCTGAAATGCCAGGAAATTGAGGCATTTAAGGGTTTTGCAGCTGTGTGGGGATTTTAAGCCCAATCTCCTCATACCCAATTCTGACCACTGCGCCATACCGAACCTCTTCCTACATACCACGCTTCCCTATTGGCTACAGCTAATGCCAGTTAAAACTTGGGTGGTGCATTAAGAGCTCCCCTCCCTGCCTTAGTTAGGTCCACTAATGGATGCCATCCCTCTTTGAACAAGCCCCACTTCTGTGTTCAGTCTCCTGTGCCTGACTGGCCAAGGCTCCTACTTTGTAGGAGGAGCCTGTTGTTAAACATACAGGATCCCTTTCACATGGCTGCCAAACACAGGGCTGCCAAGGTATATAGCCCTGTGGTACATTAGTGCTGGGGGTGCCAGCATGGTTTGTAAGAGCAATCCTGCATCTTCCTCCTATAACTGCTGAATGGAGAGGGTGTCTGGAGGCTATCAATGGCTGCTAACCCTGATGGCTATGTCTTACTTCCCCTGGCAGAGGTAATATGCTTTTGAACGCTAGTTGTTGAAAACCACAGGAAGGAGAGTGCGAGACATCTGGCTGGCCACTGTGTGAACAGGTGAAGAGAGGGGGGGAAATGAGAAAAAAGGGGAGAAAAAAATTGCTGAAGGAGAGAAAAAAGAAAGGAACAGAAACAAATTTACATGCATATTCTTGGGGAGGAGGGAATGGATTCTAGGCCAAATTTAATTTGAAGCAAAGCCTCAATTCTGTCCTCTTACATAAAAGGTAAAGGGACCCCTGACCATTAGGTCCAGTCGTGACCGACTCTGGGGTTGCGGTGCTCATCTCGCTTTATTGGCCGAGGGAGCCGGCATACAGCTTCCGGGTCATGTGGTTGTGCATCATGACCAGGTTATGTGAGAATGCAGGATCTCACCCAGTGGTGAAGCTGCATGCTCCGCTACCAGGGGCGGAGAGCAGGCGAGGGTGTGGCTGGTGCCCCCCGTGGGTGTGATGCGCATTCTGGGGGGGCGTGGTGTGCATCCCGTGGCATGGTGTGTGTTCTGGGGCCATGACGTGCTGCCTGTGGG